TTTTTTCCTTTTTGTCTTTTTTACTGACCGGTAACGGGATCGCAACCCTCGGTGTTGGGCCCGCACAGCGCTCAGCCAGTGAGCGGGAATCGGTCTCCACATGGGATCCGAACCCTCGGCGGGAGCGCCGCCGGGCTCTCAAGCAGCGCACTCTCCAGTGCGCCACCAGGCCGGCCCAGAAATCAGCTTTCTGCTGAATACTTGAGGAGGTCCAGACATGCATAGAAGCAGGAAAACATGGCCCGTAATAAGGAGAATAATCAATCAATCAAAACAAATCCAAAACTTACACACACAGTAGACATAACAAGGACATTAGAAAAGTTTTAATTATTCCGTATATTCAAAAAGTTGAGTACGCACATTGAAAATGTACTTTGAGAGATGAAAACTACAATGTGTACAAGGAAAAATACATGGAATGGGATTAATGGCAGATTAAATACAGCAGAAGAAAAGATTTGTAAAGACATAGTAATGGAAATTATCCTAAATGAAACACACGGAGGAAAAAAAAAATCATGGATAGAACATCAATTAAGTGTGGCACAACTTCACGAAACCCAATAAAGGTAAAATTGGAGTCTATGAATGGTGACAGGTAGAAATACCAAGGTCAAGGATTTGGATCTCCTTACAGGCCAGCTGCCAAAAAAAAAAAAAAAATCAAAATTTGATAAAAACTGTAAGCCCACAAAGAAGCTCAATGAACCCCAAAGTACAATAAAAAATGAAGAAAATTACACTAAGGTACATTATAATCAAACTGCTCAAAACCAGTGACAAAGACAAAATCTTAAAAGCAGTCAGAGAAAAAAAAAAAGACATGTTAGATAACACAGGAACAGATGTAAGCATGGAGCAAATTTTCCATCATACAAGCCCCACAGATGACTTCCCAAGAAAAATGTGGGGCTGGCTGATTAGCTAAGTTGGTTAGAGCACAGCCTTGTAAAACCAGGGCTATGAGTTCAGATCCTCATACTGGCCAGCTGCCAAAAAAACAAAAAGAAAAAAAAAAAAAAGGAAAATGGACAACTTTACAATGAAAATATTACAAAACACATAAGGGAACAAAGTACCATGAGTTGAAACACACTGAAGTCAGAATATAATGAAATTAATAGGAACAGAATATAGAAATAACTATGTCTAACATGTTAAAAACTTAAAGTACCTTGACAATATGGTAAGGGGATAAGCATATTTGAAAAATAAGACAATAGAACTTCTAAGTGAAAATGTTTATGATGAAAATCATAAGCATATTAGACAGAAGCTAGAGATCAAATTAGTGACCTGAAAGACAAATCTAAAGAAATTATCTAAAATGCAGCCCAGAGAAAGAAAGAAAATGTCAAAAATAAGTGATGTGGAAGACAGAGTGAGGCATAACACGTTTAACTGGTTTCAAAAGGAGATAATAGAGGAGATGGGAAAGAGGAATGTATAAAGAGACAGCTGGCTAGAATTTTCCAAGAGCTGTTCCAAGAGATGTTTGTTGAAATTCATCAATCTCCAAATCAAGGAAGCTCATCAAATCCCAAGCAGTTTATAAAAACGAAACCAGTGCCAAACTCCAAAGAAAAAAGAGGTCTTAAACGCATCCAGAAAGGAAGCAAATGATCCCAAGTGGATTCTTGACATATAGAAAGGAATGGTAAGCAACAATATGTGAGGGTACCTCAAAAAGTTCATGGAAAGATTTGTATTATCCTTTTTTTAAAAAACTTTAACCTGTAGGATCTGACACCATTAATTCTATTTTTCCATGAGCTTTCTGAAGTACCCTTGTAAATATGTGGATAAATCTAAACAAATATTGAATATATGAAAAATAATAATAATGGCTAACTTGTTGAACGGCCTAAGGCAGAACTGCAGAATTGCAAAATAAGAGAATATAAGATAGGTAGGAGGTGATTATTGTCAAAATGCTTAACAGTCTTGTAATAATAACAACAAGATAACTGCAGAAAGAACATAGACTGCATAATTTCCAAACCAGTAGAGGAAAAATATACGTCAAAAAAAAAAAAAAAAAAAGAAGACAAAAATGAAGGAGGAAAAAAAAAAAAACAGATAAAATGAGACTAATCAAAAAACCTCAATGTAAAAGCAACAATATCGGGCTGGCCCATCACTCAGTTGGGACAGTGTGGTGCTGATAACACCAAGGCTACAGGTTCAGATCCCTATATAGGGATGGCCGTTTAGCTCACATGGGAGATTGTGGTGCTGACAATACTAAGTGAAGGGTTAAGATCCCTTTATCAGTCATCTTTTTTTTTTAAAGCAACAATATTATTCAGTTGTTAAAATGAATTACAGCTATATATAGAGAGAAATATAAATAAATCTGAAAATCATAACATTATAAAGCAAAAGAAGTAAGTCACAAAAGAATAATACACATGGTTCTTTTATATAAAGCTAAAAAATGCAAATAACATTTTTTTGAAATATATAAAAAGAATAAAGAAAAGAAAGAAGATAATTACTGTGGAAGGCAGGCGGCTCTGATTGTAAACTATGTACTGGGAGCTTCTGAGATTCTCACAATGTTCTTTTCTTAAGCTGAGTCATGGGTACACGAGTATTTGTTTTAATTTTATTCTTCCTCACACACTCCATATGGTCTTTTGTACATATTACACATTAAAAAATTAAAAACACATAAGAGTGTATATAGTACACTTCCATTTATGTAATACACACATTGGTTCATGTATAGAAAATTATTTCTTAGACAGATACACAGGAAACTGTTAATAGGAGAAACAGTTACTTTTAATTGCATACCTTCTTTTGTAGTTTTTCACCATGTGCATATTCATATTCACAGTAATATAAAATGAACACCTACACATTACTTTATTCTCCTTTAATGTAATTGCATATATTTTAATATTATATTGTTATAAAGCATCTAATTGTTAAATCCACTCAGATTATATAATATGGATCAAATAATATCCTCTGAGAAATTACATATAGTTATTTCTTACTATAGTTTCTCTGACCGCTCTTAGGAAAGAGTGGAAAGAGCTAGAGACTGGCCCCTTAACACGACTACTGATTAAAATATGGAAAATCTACAGTGCACTATTGCGCTACATAAGGACCACACTATGATTCTATTCTAGATTAACAATTTTTCAGGGTCAATATGACAAAATATCTGTATCACGCATACAGAAGTTGTCCTCTAATTTGAAACAGATTTCCTTTGTGTAGTGTCCATGCCTTTTTCACAACAATTTATTATGTTTATTCATATAAAGGATTGAGAAATTCCTATACGTTAATCATTGAAGGATGAAATAACAAAGTAAGATACATGAGATACACATTCCTTGCCCTTCAGGAGCCGCCAGTTAAAGTAGAGAGGAGGCAAGTAAATAGGAAACAACTGTGAAAAAAACGTGGAAGAATAGTAATAGAAGTTTAGTGTCTTATAAGAATATATAGAAAAGAAAAGTTATAAGACTATATAGAAAGGAGAAGAACTTGAGCTTTAGAACTGTGGCTAACTAAGAAAATATTTAATGAGAAGAACTACTGAGTCAGGCTCTAAAAAATGTATGATTAGACATAAAATGGAAATTATAATTCATGTGATTTTTTACTATAGAACTTATAGTACAACATGCAATGCAACTTTACAGATTACTATATAGTGTAAGCTAAATAGTGCTTCACTGGCAATAACTTTATAAAATAAGTAAAACAAATCCAATTTCAGGCATATAGTAAAACTTAAACTTTTTTGGTTTGTTTTTAATTCTCAGATGAAAAAAACTACAGAATAGATATTCCATCTACACACAGATATTATACAATACTGAGACATGTAAACAGCAATTTAACTTAGTGGTCAATGGCTCAATTTCGCCATTAGTAAACCACACCTGAATGTGTGCCCGGCTCTGATGCTTACTAACTTTTCTGATCTTGGAAAGTACTTAATCTTTCTAAGTCTCAGTTTCCTGTAAAATGGGGATGAGTAAATGAGTTAATATATAAAAAATTATGTGGTGCCTTGCACAAAGTACTACATAATATTATTATATTCTTCCCATTTAGCGATCATCACAAATTTTAAAGAGTTCATTTTTCCATATGTACTGGAAAATATTCTCCTGAATATATGCAAAGATCAGTTTCTTCTAGTTCTATTTCTTTAACTCTCTGATTTTGCATTAAATAGACTTTAAGTAAAAACTTATTCTTCAGTGCTGACAGCTACTATAGTATTCAACTTAAATATTTTTATATATAGTTCCCTAGTTAAGTACTTAAAATTATATTCATGCATTCCCAACTGCAGCATTATATCCAGGTACACAGTAGAAAAGAAAATATATCCTTAAATTACACAGATTCTAGCTTAATTCTGAACTATAGATTACAAAACAATGTTATTAAAAACACTTAGCTCAGAAAGCTAATATAAAGTCAAAGAAAAAAATGGAAAAAAAAAACCCTATCTTCCTTTGTTAGAGTTCAGTGTGTTCGGTAAGATAGTCAGTGGATACTAAAGGTATTAAATATGAATAACTCCTATGTTATAGACTTAGATTCACAAAGAGTATGTCTAGAACATTTTCCACCAGCTGTTCAATGTAAAAGGGCAATAATGATGATTTTTACTACATATTAACTGAAAATTTCAAAGAGAATATTCAGCTTTAAAAAATATCTCAGTCATAAAGAGGGGAATTGGGGATAATTTATATGGGAGCCCTCTCAAAAATGTAAAAAACACAATACAAATTCAAGTGGAATATTGAACAATAAATCTTAGGTTTACAGCCTTATAAGGTCAATGAAAAGAACATAAAAATATTCTATTACAGTAAAAAACATATAGGTTTTATACAGGAAGGCATATTCAAAGAAAGAAATCAAGTTGCAAACAGCCTCTCTTATAACTAATTAACATAAAAATCACTAAATAGCATACTTACAGAGCAGTAAAGAAATTTATCCTGGTATGCCCATTTATAGTAAATTTAGCCCTCTTGAAATAAACAAAGGTCATAGCCAAAAGATACTATAAGGAAAAAGTTAAAAAGGAATATTAATGTTGTGCTTCCATAAATAAAACTGCTTTAAAATAGTTAACTTAAAAAATTTCAGATGAACAATAAGACAATAAAGCACTACTTATCCTTATTATAGATTTACCTATTTGAGTACTTATTTTTTTAGTTTCCTGTTATCCATATGAACAGTGACAAATAGTTACTTGACCATTTATCACAAGTAACTAGCATGGACTCCTAAACTTTTTTATAGCCAATAATTTTTGAAAACCCCATTTTTTTCCTAACGTAAATTTTGAACCTATAGAGAACTTAACAGTAAAGTAAATAACCATACATCCTTCATGTAGATTCACCAATTGTTAATATTTTGATAGATTTGCTTGATATCTCTATTTGTGTGTGTTATGTGTATACATAATTTTTTTCTGAATCCTTTAAGTAAGTTGCCGTCATCCACACTCACTTTTAAAAATAACCTTTAAGGGGCCGGCCCATGGCTCACTCGGGAGAGTGTGGTGCTGATAACACCAAGGCCACGGGTTCGTATCCCATAGGGATGGCCGGTTGGCTGAATGTGGGAGCATGGTGCTGACAACACCAGGTCAAGGGTTAAGATCCCCTTACCGGTCATCTTCTAAAAAAAATTAAAAAAAAAAAAAAAAAAAAAAACCTTTAAAAATGACTACTAAATGACTTCAGGCATTAGAATAATAAGGCTTAATTTTCGGGGGAAAATATTTTAAATGTATTAATAGATACATATATGTCTTAGATATGTCTAGCTTGATATTAGAACATATGCCAGGTTGTGAATGTTCAAATTAGAAAAAAGTTGTAATAATAATGTATCAGAATCTCTCTCATAAGATACTTATTCATCCTATCATCATAGAACTGGGCATAAACATGATTCCAAGATTTCACAGTAATCTCCAGTAAAGGACTCTTGAAATAGTGCTGTTACAGTACTTCTGGTTAGTTACTTTTCAAACACTTCCCCCTAGGGTCCAACAACTTTAATGTACATACAACTGTAACGTTTAAAACTACACAATGCCACATAAATTGGACATTTGCTATTAAAGCATTACTGTTATTTTTTTATTAAAGTGTTAGTAACATTTTTATTATGTTTTAAAAGATCCTTTTTCTTTTAGAAATACATCATGATATATTTATGGATAAAATGTTAGGCTGTCCAGGATCTGATCAAAATAATTCAGTCTTTGAGGAGAGAGATTCGAAGAAACAACAATAGCCAGGAGTTGATGATCACTGTAGCTAGGTGAGGCACATGGAGGTTCTTTGTTCTATTCTACTTTAAGTTGCGTGTGTTTGAAATTTTCCAAAATGAAATTTCCAAAATAAAAATGATTAAAAAAAAAAAAAAAAAAAAACCTCTTATTTTATCTTTGTCATTTTAGGATAAAAGCTCACATCAATACTAACGAGTATTTACTTATCTTGTCTTTTTTCAAACATTTGATTGGCGGCTATTTAATCGGTAGCTAAGCTCCCTTTTCTGTTGGTTGCTATACTATTTAAGTGTGATATGAACTTATGCTGAATTTTCTAATATGAAAGCCTGGTCCAAAATGGCATTTACAAAGCTGAAATTGTAACTATTCAGCTAAATCTAAAGAGCACAGAAAATATCACTATCCTCGTATGTTAGACATTTTTTTATAAAACACTTATTCCTAAATAAATAACAAGTTAAGCCATTTTACCTTTACCCTAAAGATTATTGGGATTTGTTTTGTCTGAATTACTTACAAAATATTAAAATGGACCACAAACTGCCTTAGTGTCCTGAATTGTCAGAATACTTTTTCTCCACAGCCTGATAAAAGTAATAATTCTGATGAAAATGTATACAGTCTATACAATTCTTGTTTCAATCAAACAGATATGGACTACAGTCACTTAAATCTAATCAGTAATATTCTACAATTCCTCAAGTATAGATGATTCTATGCTGTTTGATAATTCCAAAGATTAATGTGTAAGAATTCTGCTTTGAAGGAGCAATGCAGGCTCCTTTCCTAACCTTAATTAGTTAGAAAATTCTTACAAGGTCTCTTTAAATTTCTGATGAACTAAACATAATAATGCTGGTTAATTATTATATCGCTACCAAATTTACCTTGTCTGCAATTTTACAGCAGCAGTCCATCCGCAAGAAATCTTGAATTAATTACAGCAGCAGTCCATCCACAAGAAATCTTGAATTAAATCGTCATCTACAACAAAAATACCTATTACTTGTCTTTTAAAAATAGAACGTTTCCTTTTGAAGAATTAATTTCTATAACTGGACCTATGACTTGTCTTTTAAATATAGAATGTTTCCTTTTGAAGAATTAATTTCTATAACCGGAGATTGTAAATGTTTAGAAATCAAACAAAAATGGCTGGAACAGTGTTGTTTAAGGTGTAGTTTTCAGTTCTTGAGTATATTGCAAGAACTGTACAAAAAGGTACTGTCTTACCATTCATCTTCCCATCTGCTTTGCCTTAATATATAGCTCAGATTAGAAGGGGAATGGTAGAAGTGTTTGGTTTATTCAAAATCCAACAACACTTTTGAGAAATGTATCTTGGGTAACTCTTGACTAGCTTTTCATTCTTTCCAAAAACCAATCTTAAAAAGTGGAAATGGAATCCAATAAAAGATAACTCAGTCTTTAAGAAATAATTACTTAATGAATACTCTGTTTTCCAGGTATGTTTCACTTTTTCTACTACTTTCTCCGTTCAGTTTCCAGGGTATTTTTACTTTTGGATTCTTCTCTCCTACTTATCTCTGTTCCACTTATCTATCATTCAAATATATATACAAGTATCTACATAAAAATGTTTCTAACTCATTACTTTTGTTTTTCCTTTTTGTCTTTTTTACTGACCGGTAACGGGATCACAACCCTCGGTGTTGCGCCCGCACTGCGCTCAACCAGCGAGTGGGAACCGGTCTCCACATGGGATCCGAACCCTCAGCGGGAGTGACGCTTTGCTCCCAGACGGCACACTCTCCAGTGCGCCACCGGGCCGGCCCATAACTCATTAGTTTTTTATAATTGACACTTAATTGTGGAAAAACTGAATATTAGGACAAAAAGATCAACAATCAAAAATACTGTGTTAGGGCTCGCTGCTTAGCTCAGTTGGTTAGAACATGGTGCTTATAACACCAAGGTCCAGGGTTCTATCCCTGTACTGGCAAGCCACAAAAAAAAAAAAAAAAAAAAAAAAACCCTAAGTAAAACAAAACAAATTTGATTGCAGATTGGAAATCTGATGCAGAAAATAACAGCATCCTATTTGTTCATTATGAAATTGATAAAATAGATGTTTACATTCTAATTTTTAAGGACTTTATAATTACTGCTAGTAGAATATTTTAAACCTACCAAATAATTTAAAGAAAGCAGTCATTTCCTGAGGCTGTATAACTAAACAAGGTCCTTTCAGGTATGTAGATTTGCTGTTATTATGTGCATTTTTTTCAGATGCTTGCCAACTATCTTTAAAAACAGGACGCTTTAGATTAACGAGTTGTTTAGGCTGATGTGATCTATCTGATCCTGATTTTACATGAACAGTGACAGTAGGTTGCGTCTCACAACACATCTGATTGTGCCTCATTTTTGTTTCCCAAGATTCCTGTAAAAATAAAATACAAAATTATTTATCACACTCATTAATTTTATAAAAACAGCTAATTGGATGATACTACCAGATGGGGTCATTTGAAATGTTACTGCTATAAAAACGTTATTTGTGACAATGACTCACATTAGAAATTGCTTTTAGAATTCAGTGCTGGGAAAAGCTATGCTTCCTACATATAACTGATACACTTCCTCTTCCCAAATAATAAGATTCTGTATACCATTTTGCTTTGGCTACTATGGAACTCAAAACCAAATGTGAAAGTAATTATAGAAACTATGCTGAATTTATAATCTATTTGTGGTGTTCTTTTTTCCTGCTTGCATAATTTTATGTTATATACCACATCAAATTTTTTAAAGAACAAGACAAACTATTTCCAGAACTTAATTATTAAATCAAGTATTATATTAAAAAGTAACCCCTCCACACAAAAAAATATCTTCTTATTGGTAAAAAATCTTATTGGTAAATTCCTTGATCTATTACAAAATTCACTTATTCAATAAGCATTTAATAACCCCTCCATACAAAATAATATCTTCTAATTGGTAAAAAATCTTATTGGTAAATTCCTTGATCTATTACAAAATTCACTTACTCAATAAGCATTTATTGGTATTGACTGAAAAGTTGAATACAAGTCTAGCAAAGAAATGTATGTTATATGTGCTTTGAAGGATTTTCATAAATTGTTCTAATTTTAAAGTGTGAATGTATGACCCTGCTATTTGAGTATCTGATTATAAGTGTATGTGAATATACAGTGTTATAATCTAATAAAATCTGAAACAAAGTTAATACATCAATATTTACAATATACATAATCATTACCTTGTTTAGTGGTAATCAGTTCACTTAATTACTACACTTAGTATTACTTTTATGATCAAAGTATTTCTGGGGTAATGGGAAATGAAGGTATGAACAGCCCAATCAGGAAAACTACTCTAAGACCCTAATGAGAACCTCTGAATCCATAACTCACAGTGACCCAGGCAGACATGCCTCCCTTGGTGTTCAAGGAGTTAGGTACAGATTCTTCTTCGTGACCCTCAGAAACTTCCCTGCTAAAGGAAGGAAGGGAAAATAAGATTGGATGTAGTGAGGCAAGAGCAGCACTGTCCAATACAATGAGATCCACCTATGGAATTTTATATTTTTAGGTCCACATGAAAAAAACAAACAGGTAAAATTAATTTTGACATATATTTTATGGAACCAAATATATATCCAAAATATCATTTTAACATGTAATCAATATAAAAATTAATAACATATTTTACATTCTAAGTCACTGAAATCTGGTTTGTATTTTACATTTACAGCATATCTCAATTCTGATGCTAATTTTTCAACAAAGTAAAATGTAGTCCTATCAAAAAAATGATGTAGTGTGTAAGGGAAAAATATTTTACATTTCTCCAGTTTTTTATTTAAAGTTAAAATTAAATGCTTCAGTTGTACCAGCCACATTTCCGGTGTTTAATAACTATACGTGGCTAGTCACTAGCATGGTAGAAAGTACAGGGCTACACTATGAAGAACTAGGCAGAGGGAATTTTATTCAATCAGTCATACAGTTGCTTCTCTTCCCTGCACTCCCTGACATCTTTCTTCCTATATCCTAAGGTCCAGCCAAATTGAAAGAAATTATGGAGTTGTGGAAATCTGGTTTGTATTTTACGTTTACAGCATATCTCAATTCTGATGCTAATTTTTCAACAAAGTAAAATGTAGTCCTATCAAAAAAATGACGTAGTGTGTAAGGGAAAAATATTTTACATTCCTCCAGTTTTTTATTTAAAGCAAAAATTAAATGATTCAGTTGCACCAGACACATTTCCAGTATCTAATAACTACACGTGTCTAGTCACTAGCGTGGTAGAAAGTACAGGGCTACACTATGAAGAACTAGGCAGAGGGGATTTTATTCAATCAGTCGTACAGTTGCTTCTCTTCCCTGCTCTCCCTGCCATCTTTTTTCCTATATTCTAAGGTCCAGCCAAATTGATGGGAATTATGGAGTTGGGGGGGGGGGCTACAAACTCTATAGGAAGAGGAATAGATGATAAATTGAGCCTAGAGACTTGTGCAAGAACTTTCTGCTTTCCTACCCACCTCATCTGGGAGACAGCTGGATGTCTCATCTGCATCTTTTTTTTTTTTTTTTTTCAAAGTAAGAGCAGCCTTACATCTAGATGGAAAAAACTAAACGGTAAGGCTTCTCAAATTGGGGTATAGGGGATAGTCTCAGGGATGAGACATAGCAGAATACAGAATAAGTATGGCACATCTTCCAGGAGGTCAGTTTTACTCAAAGGTAAGTAACTTAAAACAGTGTTTTTATGTTAAAACAATCAAAGATATACAGTAAAACAAAATAGAATGCATAGTTTCTATTAATCATAAGGTAAAATGTCATCTTCACAGGAGACATCTTTACACTATTCCACTAGACCTTTATTTATTTTTTGGAATACTTCATATAAAATTTGAGAAAATTGAAAGAGAAGAAATGTCTAAAATTCCCCACGTAGAGATTCATTGAAGTTAATAAGCAAATACTGGCAGGAAAATTGTGGATAAGTAGCTTAAGGGGAGATGTTGTTAGTGCTACAGTGCTGGTCAAATTCCACCTGGAGGTAGCTTTTAGTTTTGCTCTTAGTTTATTTAGATATATCAAGAGAACAAGAGTTCTGATGGCAAGCATGAGGAAAAGAATGAAAGGCAAATTAAAATATGGGCCATCTCAGTAAGGGCAAGAGACGAGGAAAGAGGAAGAACTATGCTCACATATGGTAAAGTCCTTTAATGAATTTTTACATGGACTCTACCAACACGGAAAAATATCATTCCAGAATTGGTACATTCATACTTGAATAGAATGTCGAGGATTTGTTTTTTGTTTTTGTTTTTGTTTCGGAAACACATCACATCAATTTCACAGGCATCTGAAATAATTTCTTCTCTCTGGGAATAATATAAAGGGTGGTGGTTCACAGAATCATACAATGAGGAAAGCAGTAATGTGGGGATTCATCTGTCTATATGAAAAAGCTAATAGCAATGTCCTTAGGCAATTCAGTCGGAGCAGGCAGGTAAGCCTTAACTTAAAATTGCAGTTGCACACTGAGCACTTAATATATGCCAGATTCTGTGCTAAATGTTATACATGTATCATCTCATTTACTTCTCAAAACATCTGTATAAGGTGGGTTATAGAGTGTCCTACTTTGTAATTCAGAAATTTGAGGCTTAGAGAAGTTAAGACATTTTCCCATAACCACATAAGTTGTAAGTGATAAAACTAGGACTTGAATCCAGGACTGCCTAACACGAAAGTCCCAGATTCTTTAAACACTAAAGCACTTTTTTAAATATTAAATAAAGTCATGTATAAAACATTTGACACATAGTAAGCACTCCAATATTACTTACTGTCACATTGCCAGGAAAACATAAACCTAGCTACGAGGCTACTCTTTATATAAATTTAATTCTAGCATTAGCGGTGTAAATGTGTAAAATAAGTGGTGACTCAGTGGTTAACTAAGCCATTACTGAGGGGAAAAAAGATGGGCTCATCACCTTTTTTGCGAAAATAAAACAGATTTTAAAAAAGAATCCTTCAGATCCTCTCACCATCCAGATGTCCCCCCCCCCCCAAAAGAATACTTATTGAAATGACTACAGCTTTTTTCTCTATCTAATAAGCAGGATCTAATTATTGAAAAACAATATAGTAACTGTAGGACAGATATTCTGGCAAAATTGCTGAAAGCTTTCCTCCACAATTATGATGTTTTAAAGATTTTTTCTAATTTAAATAATCATCTAATGATTATAGAACACTTTTGACCTTAACCAAGTGCTAGGTGCTATGGTGTTTGCAAAATACAGTCAGGCACTGCATAACGATGTTTCTGTCACACAATGGACTGCATATAGGATGGTGGGCCAATAAGATTATAATGGAGCTGAAAATTTCGCATCGAATAGTGAAACCGTAGCCATAATAACATCACAGTGCAATTACTTTATTTTTTAAAATAAATTCACTGTAGCCTAAGTGTACAGTTTTTATAAAGTCTACAGTAGTGTACTAGTAATATCTTAAGCCTTCACATTCACTCACCACTCACTGACTCACCCAGAGCATCTTTCGGTCCTGCAAAGTCCATTCATGATAAGTGCCATCGGTGTACCATTTTTTATCTTTATACCATATTTTTACCATACCTATTCTATGTTTTGATATGTTTAGATACACGAATACTTACCATTGTGGTACAAATTGCCTAGTGTATTCAGTACAGTAACATGCTATGCTGTACAAGTTTGTAGCCTAGAAGCCAGAGGCTACGCCATATAGCCTAGGTGTGTAGTAGGCTGTGCCATCTAGGTTTGTCTAAGTACATTCTATGATATTTGCACAACGATGAAGTCACCTAAAGACACATTTCTCAGAACGTATCTCAGTTGTTAAGTGATACATGACTGCAATTACATAGCACATAAATTCAAATCTGATTAGCAATCCAACAAATTAGTGAAGAAGTGATCATTATTATAACTCAATAAAGTGATAGGAATACATGGAAACTAGATTTGAATAGCATTAAAGGAACGATGTTCTAGAAAATGAGGCTGGAAATGTGAACACATGCACCCACCCCCTTTTATTTTAAACGTGGAAATAATTAGAAGGAAGAAAATGAACAGCAGCCAGATGGGACAGTAGTCAAATGAGATTTTTTTTTTTTTTTTTTTTTTAA